TGCTCTAAGATTGAAGAAATGGGCTCCCCAGAGGAGCTGTTCATATCCTGCCGCTTTCTTGGCCCTGTATGCCGTCTTGCTAGCCTGCTGCTTGCTTGTTGCCAACAGCCACACTTACATTCGTTAAACCTATCCGCTTTAAGTGATTCAGGTGGTGATCGGCATTTCGTTTCAGCCCGGGATAGGTGGAGGGATCTCTATGATCGCTCTCTTGATTGTCTGCTCAATTTGAGTTCACTTTACTGTTTCGCTGAGGACAAGACGATTCCTTCCGATAGGTAGGCATGTATAACGTATATTCTTTCTACGATGGATAATTTATGCCTCCATTTAGTTAATACATTTTCTCTACGTCTTTAAGCAATTTCATCTAACTCACTTTGTTCTGAGTACAATTTATAAGTCTTTAATTTGCTCAACTTCATATATATATTTAGGTCTTTGCATTTTTAGAAAAAAATTACAGACGCCAGGAATCTATTCAGATGCACACCTTGGTAGCTCCAATTAAAAGCTATGCTTTTTTCTTGTTCTATAGCGATGCTTTTGCTATTTTTAATACCATTAACGAAGGACGCTATTTTTTTGTATTATCTTTATCCGAGAGGAAAATTTCGCATCTTTAATTGAAAATTACATTTACTTGTGTTAAGTCTGTGTTATTGTTTTTAGCTATTTCTCATTTTTACATTATAATTAAATATATATATTTGATAATTCAACTCGATTTGTTATAAATTTTCAGATATTATGTTTTTCTATTTAATCGTTTGATATATTTGACTCCGGTTCTTTTAATCACAAATTTTACTATCCTTGCTGAGGACAGCGTTGCTGAAAAACACTTGACTCTGGTTCCATTTGACTGGTGGATTGATGATATTTTAACTCTTGAGTATCTACACATTCCTGCTTCTAATGAATTCGTTTCAAGCAAACTTCTCCGTCACTTGGTCAAGTACGTTCAGTTTTCTTTGTCTTTCTTCCGTTTTGCTTCTATAGGCTTTGCATTATTCTTGCATATCTAAGCCAGTTTATCTTTATATTTCAATTATTTTTTCCTATTTTCATTTATATTAATTGAGCTTCCTTAAAAGTTTATCCTCAAATTTTCTGATTCCATCAGTAAAAAAATGAAACTTATTATTAATGAAAGATATTAACAGTAAATTTGGTATATAGAAGAACTCACCTTCTATGCCTTTAAGTAAAGAGCTAATATTTATCTAAACATCTCAGACAGCTGCCATCACTCTAATAATTCAAATAAGCTCTTTTTCGTGCAATTTTCTATTTAACTCACTGATTATCATTTAGTTTTATACTATTATTTAACCTCAGCTTATTATTTTTTATGCATATCATCATTTGCTTTATATTCACTCAAATTAATTTATAATTTCGGAATAATTATTTAATGACGGCCAGCTATCACTCGAAAAGTATTTTTATGATCTGTTGATAAAAGTGTTATTCTCTAATTTT